CACATTAAGCGATGCTGAATATACACGTATTTCAAGAAATGTTGTCGGTCGGAGATCTGAATCTGGGCTGAAATGAACTGTGGATTGCGAGCTATTCTTTCACTAATAGTACATCGGATTTATTTATTATCGACTTTGATCAGCCGATTGAAACCTAACATTAGGATTGCTTTTTGTTTTGGACCATGAAAATCGTTTTTCCATACGAATTACGTCACACTTAAAAGATTTATTGTACAACACGTTTGATAATGCAAGAAATCGCGGAACTGTATGTATCAACTCCATCAACGCCCAAAAACTGAGCACCGGTTAGGCAAAGCTTTTCGCCGTAAATAGAAGGGATGGATTTAGATCAAGGAGCGCGCCTATCCATAATTCTAGTTATCTTCCTCCTTACCACCGCTAGTAATACTAGCGTCGGTGTACTGATGTACCGATTCAAAAACCTACGAACAATCCCCAATATTCTCATCCTGAGTTCATGTACCGCTGAAATTCTCAACCATATATTCAATATTCCTGGATTCGTGGCTGGGTATATCGTCAGGGATAGCAAGTACTTTGTCGGACGATGTCTGGCACTCGCTCTGGCGGCCTCCACTCTCTTCTTCACAATGGTAAATATAATGTCAATGACGCTGATGATGGTTGATAGAATGTGTGCATTTAAATTCAACCTCGCTTACCGAGTGTGGAGAACAAGACACAAGGCTTTCGTGGCAATAGCTGCCAAATGGATATCGTCTTTCGTAATATCCATGGTGTTTCTGGTTCCAATCTGGGATATAGACCTTGGAAACGTGGCTGCTCGCGAGTATCGCAAAGTTTATTTCTCCAAGCAAGGAAGTTTTGCTGCCGTTTTGATGTCGCTTTTTATCATCAATACGGTTATGATTGCCATAGTTACGTGCACTGCTATTAAACACAAGAGTAAGGTAAGACCTTTTCATGTCAAATGAGAACAGAGACATTAACGAACGCACACGCGACTCTGACTTTCGAGTAGAGACTCCTACGACCGCCTTTGATTCTAAATTAAATTTTTTACAAGAAAAAAATCTATATCCATTGAAAAATTCACCATTTTTTAGTATGTCTACAACTTTAGGCTTACTCTGATCTTTTGTTTTGGTCATGTTTCTATGGTAAATAATGAAGTATTTTCTCAAAGTACATAGATTACGCTTTCTTTTTATGCATGAGTAGGTTCTTGTTTTTCTTTTTTCTTTATAGATATACATATACATATATATATATATATAGAGAGAGAGAGAGAGAGAACGAATTATGGTCTTATGAATTATGAATTATGTGATTTCTACACTTAACACATATATATATTTCGCTCTACATAAAGTATCGAGCACTGTTCTACTGGCGATCGACCACACAGACACACAGACACACAGACACACAGACACACAGACACACAGACACACAGACACACAGACA